ACGACTCAGAACAACACCAAATTAAGTTTGCATAGGTTTCAGGAGGTGGGCTAACGATTGCAAGCATTTAAAACAGGCTTCAAACAGTTTAAGACACTTTTACAGGAGCGAAAAGGGAGATCGGAAAGAGCTTTAAAAGGGAAACGGAGATCAAAGAGCGGAACGGATTAACCTGTTTTCAATGCATTCCTATGGGAAATGGTGTTTCACTTAACGATGTTTTCACATAACGATTTTTTTAATGGAACCAATTAACATCGTTAAGCGAGGCACCACTTGTACTTGTTTTTAGCTTTAATATCGTCTTTTATTGATGGAAACTTTCTAGCTTTAAATATTGTCTTTTAATAATATTAAGCCACCATTGTATATTCACTGTTCTAGCTTTAAATATTGTCTTTTAATAATATTAAGCCACCATTGTATATTCACTGTTCTAGCTTTAAATATTGTCTTTCAATAATATTAAGCCACCATTGTATATTCACTGTTCTAGCTTTAAATATTGTCTTTCAATGATGCAAGCCATTTTGGGCCCTTTTAAAGGAGAAAGTCAGGGTAAAAATATTTTAAATAAATAAAATAAATGAATACACGTTAAGAAATATTATCTGTTACATATTGAGTTGTGCCACTCAGAATGTGACATATCTAAGGAGATTTCTTAACTGATGGCAATTTGGCACTAAAATTGTCTTTTGCATAACTTGCAATAGGATTTTGATCAGTAGGTTATAGCATAAAAAAGATTAAACATATAACCATATTAAAAGATTGTTATTTAGAAGTGCATGCTCTCTCTCCCTCCTCTCTCTCTCCTCTTTCTCTTTTGCACCCCATGTTTTGTTCCATCCTTAACAGCCTGCCTAAAAGGACAGAACAGCATGGAGGAGATCAGTCTGGTTTCCCATGAGAGAGCTGAGAGCTGACACGTCAAACGTCTTCTCTCATGTGCTTGTAAAGGTGATGGGATCAAGAAAAGCTCACTGCAACCAAGGTCTTAAAAGTTTGGGGGTTTCATATGCCGAAGTGCAGCCCTTCAAATAGCTTCAACCCAAGTCATAAAACAGGTCTTATAGATCCATTGGGCCCAGAAATGGATCAGCAACCAGTGAAGCTGTTCCAATGGGGAATGTCGTGGGAGGAATTACCAGAAGTGCCTTCCTGAAGGAAAGGAAATCTTTTAATTCAGTCAGATGTATGACCTGATACAAAATCACATTTCCTGCATCCTGACTATTTATACCGTTCTTGTCACTTGGGAAGAACTCCCTGCATTTTCTAACTGATTGGTTAAATTTGTCTCTCTGACCAAATACTGTAAAGTGATTTCCCCAATTCTATAGCAGGCATTTTCAATATTATACAATAGACAATGTTGTTGTTAATCCTGTCAATGTGATTGGCTGGACAGAGGCTATTGGAGGGAAATTTCATTGGAGTGTTTCTGTTCAACTTTTGGATGATCTACAGCAGTGGACCCCAACCCTGGGCCTCCAGATGTTCTTAGACTACAACTCCCAGAAGCCTTCACCTCCACTTCTGCTGGCCAGGATTTCTGGGAGTTGAAGTCCAAGAACATCTGGAGGCTGAAGGTTGGGGACCACTGCTCTACAGGCAATAGGTCCCATAGAGCAGTGGTCCCCAACCTTGGGCCTTCAGATGTACTTGGACTTCAACTCCCAGAAATCCTGGCCAGCAGAGGTGGTGGTGAAGGCTTCTGGGAGTTGTAGTCCAAGAACATCTGGAGGCCTGAGGTTGGGGACCACTGCCACAGAGACATTTCTAAATGCAATGTGAAGTCATTCCAAGTAATCTGAAACATCTTTCAGTTCTGCAAAACTACCTGCATGGTCAAACCTATCTAATAAGTTTGAGTCCTCTCCAATACAGGGTCTGGTCAAGATGGTGGTGTTATATGTTCCCTCTTACTGGTCTTGGTCAGCAGTCTGGCTGCAGCATTTTGAACAAGCTGAGGTTTCTGAACACAAAGGCTGCCCCATTTAGAGCATTTTACAATAATCCATGAGGGATATAATCAAGGGGTATGTCACCATAGCCAGATCATACATCTCCAGGAATGTCTAGTGCACTATTTTAATTGTGCACATGTACTCCCGGATACTACCAAAACCTTTTCTACTTTGAAAACTCTTTTGCTACATCAGAGACTCTTTAGAGAGCATCCGTTCTAGGCCAGATTGAGCCGTAATACATATTTCATGCAGTGGCAGGGAAGCTACTATTTTTTTCCCTTTCTCAAAGACATAAAAAGGTATCTCAGGCCTCACCTAAGATATTTTGCTGTCTGAAAAGCAAATGATACCCTATACCTTAAGGCAGAGCTGCCTTGACTTTTTAAAATAAAATAGCACCTCAGCCCCAAAGGTTGAGCCTGAGGTGGAAGAACAAACAACACCCCTATGTGATGAGAGAGCTCATTTTGGGTCTCCAGCTTCTGGTGGGAAAATGGAACAAACCCAGCTTCAGGAAAAAAGAATATCAGATCAAAGTCACACATGCACACAATCCGGTAAACATTAATATTTCCTGTAGATTTCTTTTTAACTTTCCTTCTAATGTGTTTGTAGACAAGTGCAACCAGGAGAAGAAAAGCATCAATGGAAGTGTATAGACACCATACCTCCAAAACCAGGCCGCATGCTGAAGTCATGGTCATCTATTCTCAGAAGTTGCTCTGACTTTGTCAGTGGCGATTTGGTTATATCAGGGCTTCGTTTCAGTATTGGACTAGGTGGAAGGAGGGAAAAAACAACAACACAGTCACATAATCTGCAGTTCATGTCATCCCTTCCTTCATTTAGGAATGGAATCATAAAAGCCCAGTGTGAACAGGGGTGGGACAGGAAGCAGAAATCATTTACTTTACACACATTCATGGATTGGATGCCTATAAATATTGATGGATGGATGGTATTTATAGCTTGCCTTTCCTCCAGTGAACTGAAGGCGACACACATGACCTTCTCTTCTAAACTTCATCCTCACAACTACCCTATGAGGTAGATGAGGCTGAGAGGCCCAAGATTGCCCAGTGCATTTCATTGGCAGGTAGGAAACTGAATCCGGATCTAGACCACTGCACTGTGCTGGCTAATCCACTACTAGCTGGGTCCTGCACTTTTAACCATTACTCAACAGATCTCAGGCTTTCCTAAAGCATGTGGGTGGGTGAGTGGCCTCTCTCAGATCACTTAAAGACCTCTTTGCTGTGCTCTTGCAAGCCCAGTAGGATTTGGGATGTGTATGGCTAATGTAACATCTTTGAAAAATAATGATTTGATGAGGCACTTTCATCTAGCTGTCATAGTAAACAGTGAAAAAGACAGAACTGTGAAATCGTTTCAAATTATGCAGCCTTCCATCGTTTCCGATCCCACTTCATGTATTTTTATACCAACTGCTTAGCAGCTACAGAATAATGAAAACAGCACACCCCAGAGAAGCACTGCTGTGGCTGTTTTGTGAGGAGAAGCCATGAGGAGAAACTTTAAGGAAGTACAGCATAAAAGCCCGTGGATGTGGCTTAAGAGCAAAACTGATCGATTGAGAACTAGCCAAAATGAATGCAGGCTAGTCAAGCACCAGAGTGACCCATTTGCCCTGTTCTGCAAGGGTAGTCCTCTGTTTGAAAGATTTGTCAGAGGACAGTTCTCTGCCTAAAGGCATCCTCCATTTGAAGGACTATGCAGTCCAAGTCCAGGTTAAAGATAAAAACAAAGGTAAAGACTAACAAGAAGTGAGAGCAGAGGAGGAGCTTTGAAGTCACTCTACAAGTACTTAGGACCTGGACTGAAGACAGAGCAGGTCTGCAGGACATGTGGTCACAGTCTTCTATGTCTCAAAACTGAGACACATTGCAGTTTTGTATATATTACAGTCGTGGTTTCTAAACTGAAATCCATACTTCTGAATTAGCATGTGTAGATTTCATCCAAATCTATGCCCCCAACTTTAGGAGCAAGATGAACGTCGTCAAGCTTCCAGTCACAGCCTTGGAGCAGAGTGATGGCCCTGTACTCCAGATCAATTTTGTGAGTGCAAAATCAGTATGGTGTCCCTGCTTTAGAAGGTAAAACAAGTGTTTACCTCCTGATGACCAATCATAAAAAAGCAACCTAGTTTGCAAGGTAAAGAGGCAAGAAAGCTCATGCTAGGTCAATCAGATGTTTTGTATCACTTAAGGTCTGCCTGCTTCCACTGATATGCCCTAAATACCATATTGTTTAAACCTTTGATAGAGCATTGAAAAATGACTTTTTTTGGAATTACAGCTTTCACAACCCCATAGCAACAAATGGCAGCCCACGCTGGAAACCTGAGAATCTCCCATTTTCCCTGATTTTCTGGGAGAAACAAAACAAGGAGTTGCCAAGCACCTGGCTGGCTGGAGGTAGCAAACTACAATTAGCTTGGTGATTGAGCATTGTTCTAGTCATCCAGGGAAACCACTTCAGTTGCACAGTCTATTAGTACCATAAAGGGTTCATCGAGGTTGGATGTTTGCCTGATGACTCAGGTCAGGTCCCATCTTTCATTTCAAGGTTACAACCCTCTGTTTACTGGTTCTGTTGATAGTTGTGATGTGATACTCAATCCTAAATATTCTTGCTCACAAGTAATCTCTATAAATAAGTTTAGAACTGTAGCCTGACTGAGAGCAATGCTGCACAGTTGCTTTGGGTAGCACCAAACAAGAACTGGAGGAAGATATACCATCTTATCTTCCGTGTGATGTTAGTAAAATGAATGCACCCACATTGGTCTGGCTAGTTTGTGCGAAATACCCATGATCAGTCCAAGGACAGGTACAGTATTGCCAGGTGGTATATAAGTGGGAGGTGGGCTGATGCACCACATCTAACCAAGAAAGATTCCTGGGGCGTGAAGCAGCAAATCAGAAGTTTTATGGCTCCAAGCTACTAGTCCTTTGGTTTCACCTTTAGAAACATCAATCTAAAGTACACTTACCTTCAGAACCTAGCCAGAAATTTCCTCTTAGTTTGGATTACACATTCTCTCTTCCTCCTCCTCCTCCTCCTCTCTCTCTCTCTCTCACACACACACACATATTGCAGGCCTGTGGGAGGACTGCAGCAGGAGCAAAGGCCCCTTTGCCCCATAAACATTGCACAGTGTTTCCCTGGCAAAAATCATCCTCTCACTGTCCTCTGATGTTACCTGACTTTGAAAATGCTGTTTATGGCAAATAGCAACCTGGGAATGTGGATGGAAAAGCCATACTTTGCCCTAGCATGGACCAGAGCTTTGGAGTGGTTTTTATTTGAACATACAACTGCAGGTGCACACACCATCCTATTTGTGTGTGTGTTTAAATAGTTGACCAAGCTTCCAAAGTAGGAAATATATCATGTAAACTAGGGCTCCCAGAACAGATGCTGCCAGTTTGAATAAACAATACAGAGTTAGTTGGATAGGATCTGACTTGGAGAAAAGGAACTTCCTATATTTAGTAAAACATAGATGAGGAAGCTGCATGTGTGGATAAGGCTTTTGAGGAGAGGCAATTAATTTTAAGGCTATAAGTTTGAACAATGTTCTTATTCTAAGAATCAAGTTTTTTTTTTTCATTTCTTGTGTCGTTGTAGATTTAGGATTACTGGAGGCTTCACATTTATCTTTCATATTGTAGATACAGTGGGAAAGGATGTGGCTGCTACAGATTTTATTCCATCCTCTCCTAGACTCGGTAGAGCATCTCTTAGGATAAAATAACTCATTTATTGCTGTTGAAAGGTACAAATGGCTTGAATAAGGAGGGGTGCAATGTGAAAATCTAGATGTCAGTTTTATGTGTTTCATGCAGTGCTTATGCCAGAGCCACATTTATTCAGAGCAGATTGTGTAGGTATCCTTCAGTCTCAAGAGACTATGGTAACGTGCTCTGAATTGAGGTCTTGGAACAGCATCTATTGTGGCTGAGAAAGCCACTTTGAGAGTGACAATCCCTTCCACACTGAAGACAAATGCAATCTGTCCCCTGTCCAGCTCCCTGGTTTTGCTGGTTTCGGGACTGCCTCTTTGCCTTGGCCTGCTGGAAAAGTGTCTCTTCAAATTGGGAGAGGCCATGATGCACTGCCTGCCTCCAGGCTGAACGCTCAGATGTCAACTTTCCTATCTGTTGAGGTCCGTTCCAAAGACCTTCAGATCCCGCTTACAGATATCCTTGTATCGCAGCTGTGGTCTCCCTCTGGGGTACTTTCCCTGCACTAATTCTCCATACAGGAGATCTTTTAGAATCTGACTGTCACCCATTCTCATGACATGCCGGAGCCAATGCAGATGTCGCTGTTTCAGTAATGTATACATGCTAACAATTCATTCTCCATACAGGAGATCTTTTAGAATCTCATGACATGCCGGAGCCAACACAGACATCGCTGTTTCAGTAATGTATACATACTAACAATTCCAGCTCACTCTATTTGGAACGTTGTCCTGCCAGGTGCCAGGTGCAGATAACATAAAGGTAAACACCTAAATCTAACTTTGTGTTAAGGCATGTAGTCTTAATTTTTAAATTTGTCCTGCCAGGTGCCAGGTGCAGATAACGTAAATGTAAACACCTTAACCTAACTTTGTGTTAAGGCATGTATAGTAGTCTTAATTTTTAAATGATGATTACTTACTTACTTACTTACTTGTTTGTTTGTTTGTTTGTATATCACTCTCATTAGTGCTGAGGGAATATATTTCATACACCATACATAGGTGTTGATCTATAGGTGTTTCCTACTTTGAATTACTGTCCTGTAATTGCTACAGCTTTTTAACCCATTGTATTCTCACTTAAACATAGGAAATCTAGAACGTATAGCCTTCCAACTTTTGCTGGAACACAACCTCCATCGTCCCTGACCCTTGGCCATGCTGGTTGTGGTTGATAGGAGCTGGATCCAGTGGCATCTGGAGGTCCACAAGGGCCTCACCCTTAGCCTAATGGTGTCCACTTCAAATGTTTTGCTCTAGCTTCTGTGGCCTCAGGGGTCAAACTTTGTGGCAAGTGTCCAGGATGTCCAATGAGCAAAATGAGCTGTAGAATCCCTAATGATGGCGTGATACACTGTAAAGCAGGGGTTTTAAACCCAATTTACCTGGGGGCCGCTAGAGACAGAGTCTGGGTGAGGCTGGGCTGCATCAGATCTTCCGCCAAGCGGAGCAAGAGCCCAGGGAAGCCACCCAGGAGTTTCCTTATCCGACAGACAGGTGGGCTGGCTGGCAGGCTGCAGTTCTGGATGGAGGGTGCAAGAGGTGCTGTTTTGGGAGAGAGCCAGCGAGCGAGGCAAGGCTTTTTTTTACTCTTGACAGCAGAGGATGTGTGGGTGCTTTGGGGGGGCAGGCAAGGAGAGAGCCACAAACTATCATCTGGGGGGCCGCAAATGGCCCCCGGGCCACATGTTTGAGACCCCTGCTGTAAAGTGAATGGAGTAACACACATGAGTATCAGCCTTAGCCAACCCAGACAGTGATGAAGGATGTTGGGCAAGTCCAATGAGATCTGAAAGGGCCAGTGGTTCTGGACCTCCTGCTTTACTACCATCTCTCTCTATAGCCCCCCCCCTCCCAAATAGAATCTACACTTCTGATGGCCCTAGTGGCTTATCTTGCAGGGGTGGGAAGGAAGAAAGGAAGGCAGGAAGGCAGAGGGGATGGGATTGCAGTGCGTCATTGTAGGCAGCATACCTGCCTTGCTTGTGTGATTCTCCATGTGTTTCTCTTCTCTGTCTCTGGGGCCGACTGGGGAAAGAAAGACAAAATAAGGCGATAAATTTTGAGATTTTTCCAGATGGTAGAATTAATGTATTACTTTTTGTCTTGTCTCTTGTTTGTTCTTCCCAAACCCTCAGGTCCACCCTCTGGATGTGTTTCCTCTTTTTACGCTGCCACAGTGGATCTAGTCCACACTATACCAAATATATGTATCTCAGTATATGTACTGAGATATATATATGTACCTGCCAATACATCAGGTTTATTGAACTTTTAGTTGGTAAGTCACAGATGTAAATCATAGATGTGTTTTTATTACTGTCTAAGTTCTCTCATTAAAGTACAGCGGTGCCTCGCACAATGGGCGCCTCGTAGAGCGATGAATTCGCTCTACGAGGCCGGTTTTGCGATCGCAAATGCGATCGCATACCGATGCCTCAACAGGGAAAAAATCGCAGAGCGAAGGTCGGTAAGCGGTTCGCTTACCGACCTTCGCTTTGCGACCCGCCAATCAGCTGTTCGGCGGCTACAAAATGGCCGCCGGAAGCCGCAAAATGGCCGTGCGCAGCGTTTTCGCGCCCTTGTTAAGCGAGGGGAAGGCGTGAAAATGGCTGCCGGCCATAGAGGAACATCGCTGAACGGTGAGTACAGCAGCCGATTGGAACGCATTAAACACTGTTTAATGCGTTCCAATGGGCTTTTCTGCCCCGCTCAGCGATGTTTTCACACAGCGAGGGTTAATCCGGAATGGATTAATCTCGCTGTGCGAGGCACCACTGTACTTGGGTTTGATTACATGTTTGCTTGCTTATACTTATTCACAATATCCACTTCAACAACACCCTTTGACTATCTATCTATTCACTATCCCTTCGAACTCTTTCCTATTCTCTTTACCCCTCCATCTTTCCAATCTCTCTTAACTTTCTCAATTCAGTCTCCTAACTATCTCCCTTTCTGTCTAGCTGCCTGTCACTCTAACTCTGCCCCTCCTGTCCTATCATAGGCTCCTGCACATGAGCTCCATATGATGGACAGGAGTGACGTGGGCATTCCGCCACACTTTTCATCTCTGTGTCAACCCAGAAGGAGAACATGAAATAGAGACTGTACCAAAGAAATGTGTGTAAGAATGTCAAGAAGGGGAGGGTAGCAAGTAGGCAGGGTATAAGATTTTGCTGAGTTTAATGTTAGATTCAAAAGTTCTACCAGAAAATAGGGCCTCTGTTTATTCCAGCGGAGCAAGGGAAAATGCATATGCCATAGATGCAACTTCTAATTATAAGTCAAAATCCTGTTGGGAAAAATCTATGTCCTTAGAGGCATTTTCTCCCTCATCGTCTGTCATTTGGCTGCTTTCTTTGGCTGGGATAAATGAACAGTGCAACAGCTTGCTGGCAGTACAGTCACCCTTACTTGTACAAATGCTTACTTACACCACCCAGGAATGGCAGGATTTTGGCCTAATGTTTTAGCAATGGAGAGGGAGGACCTCAAGCCTCAAGGAAATATGAACAGCGCAGTTTCTTTCACACTAGAAGCCTTTAATCACTGCTGCTAAAAGACTTCTTTTCTGTAACTAGCTAGAAATGACATCTCAAACAGCATCTTAGCTTTATATTACTCAGCAATGCTCTTACTCACAGGAACATTCCTTCTACAATGTTTTCTGGTGGAGTATCTCTGGTAGTCTTTTGTAGCAAAGGCAACAAAGATCCTTTGGGGACTTTTAACACATGTTTTACTTACCATACCCTTCAATGGACCATCACCCATTTTGTCAGATGCAGATATTAGTCCATAATGTTGACTCACAAGTACAATAGGACCCCATGTCCACTGCAGATTGGTTCCAAGCTCCCGGCGTATATTGAAAACCATTGATAATACCGAAGTCTCTATAGGGCGGTAAAAAGGGGGAAGAAACCCAGAACAAAATATTTTCACATGCATTATCAGAACTGGCTACTAGAGGGTGCTAGTGACCATGCCATGTATTCTTTACTAATAAGTATTCATAGCATGGTCTCTGGCTCCCTCTAGTGGCCAGTTTTGGTAAATAAGTTATGAAAACAGTTTGTTCTGGATTTTTTTTTCTTTTAATATTTTAATATTTTCAGACTGCAGGATAAGTGAAACCGCAGATATTGATCCTGCAGATATGGGGTCCAACTGTACATTCCATGAAGCAGACATTCTTCCCAGTGTTCATTGAAAGCTTTCTAGGTAAAGGAATTATTTATTACAACAAAAAGTCTTTTAGCATGTTAAGAAGCTGGTTGCCGTTGATAGCAGCTGAAGGACTAGTTGCAAGAAGGGTCCAGTTTGCCCCTTGGAATCTTCTCATCCCTTTAACAACTCTGCTAGAGGAAAACTATATAGAACTCTCCTCAAAAGTAAATCATACTGAGTCTAATAAAACTTGCTCCCAGATAACTATTTATTTATTTAATTTCATTCAAATCTAACTTTTCTCCTCAAACTAGGTTCCAAAATGGGTTGCAAGATTAAAATCCACACAGTCAAAAATAGACTTGAAATCCAATGCAAAAAGAGGTAAAAAGGTAAAGGTAAAGGTTCCCCTTGACATTTTTAGTCCAGTCGTGTCCGACTCTAGGGGGCGGTGCTCATCCCATTTTTCAAGCTGTAGAGCCAGCGCTTGTCTGAAGACAGTTTCAGTTGTCACGTGGCCAGCGTGACTAGGGAGCTCCGTTTTACCTTCCCACCGAGGTGGTACCTATTTATCTACTTGCATTTACATGCTTTTGAACTGCTAGGTTGGCAAGGAGCTGGGACAAAGCGACAAGAGCTCACTCCATCACGTGGATTCGATCTTATGACTGCTGGTCTTCTGACCCTGCAGCACAGGTTTCTGCGGTTTAGCTCACAGAGATACATCTATACAAATCAAATGCCAACTGAGTTAAAATGCAATTAAACTAACTATATTAGAACACTGTAAAATTAAAAATGGTTACAAACCATGAACTTGAGGACTACAGTCTTAATCATGTTTGTGCCAAATTCTGCTACCACTGAAGCAATAGTAAACTTTAATGACTGATTTTCTCCCAGTTCATTTGCTTTCAGTTTAGGTGGGACAGAATTCTACTGCTACTCGTGGAAGGTTTGCAAAACCTGTCACAACTAACCATAGTTAATGGGTGGGATTCTGGGGTACATCTAATTCACATGCCCGGTGCCTTTCCTGGTTGCAGAGTTTCTTTCTACATCAATCAGCCACAATTAGCCTCGTGAAGTTGTGCAAATCTTACACGTACACCAGTAGTATTCCAGTCAATGTCAAACAGCACTCTGTTCTAGCAAAGTTTGTACAGTATTAAGTGATGAGATAGTTTTAAGAAAAGGGTAAGTTTGTTTATAAATAATACAAATGAATAGCATCACTGCCCTTTAAAATTTTGTAAAGCCCGGAGACCTGTATGACATCCTGGCAAGAATTCGAGGAGTAAAAAAGAGAGACACCATTGCATATTTATACCACTGAGTTGGTTGTTTATCTCCCTTTAATGATCACCACTATGAAGGAATTCTCCCCGAGGTGCCATTTTTGTTTTCAGCATCTAAAACTCTTTGTAGTCAAATGATCTAAATTCAGATAGCAAAAATTGCTTAATTTTCAAGTATGTCTTTGTCTCATTTTCAAAGATGAGATACAATCATGGAATTAGTAATTACAGCTTGAATTGTATGCTGGTGGTTGGGTGAGAGGAGACAGAATTACAGGAGAGTTTATTTTGCCCTTGTCCCTCCCTATTGCTTTTAAGAAGGCTACTGTGGGCCAGATTTTGGCTTAAAGTGATTAGCATCAGGAAGTGGCAGCAGCTTTTATTACACACACCGCTCCCTATGATAGCAGCATTTATAATTAAAATTGGGCTTTCAGTCTTGGCTCTGCATAAAAGAAGGCACAGTAACATTGTAAAGGAGTGCATTAGTCTTGACACTAGGTCTGGTTTTTATCCCTGCTAGGAATACCTACTGTCTGACCTACATAGACTCACCTGATTCACGTTTAAGGGTTACAGTGGCTTCTTCTGAGCCATTGCTATTTTTAAAGTTTTGTAAATTCCAGGGACTCATTGGATTCAAAGATACCAAATGTATTCAGGGAATATCTATGACCTGGAGAGGCTTCAGGTCACTTGATGCCATCTGATAACTGGTGATTTTTTTTACAATTTAAGAGCTACCCTATGAAAAAGAGGATCTTCAAAATTAGCATGCTTGGTTGAGACAAAACAAGCAAACTAACCCTTTAAACACATAAAATCCAGGCTTGATGAATGAAAAATGATGCATCATGTTAGTGAACCCATTTTCTAATCTCTCCTTTTTTCCCCTCTGCCAAATTCAGATACACTCAGAAAGATCTTATGTAAGAATGCATGCGTGCGCACTAATATAGCAAATGCTTTATCAGAATAGATTTTCAGTCATGACAAAAGGCAGCTAAAAGCATTGCGAGGGACAGCACAGGACCAGCCAATGTGCTTATCATATGGAATGGCACAAAGAACATGAAATCTGGTTGGTAAAAAAAGATTATCAAGGAAGAGGCACCAAGAACTGAAATGAATCACACATCCCAATTATGATTAATTACACAAACATACATCAGCTTCATCACAACAAGACACTGCCATCTTTTAGTTGTCTAAAGCTATGCAAAAAACATTGTGGTCTCTAAAATTGGGAAGAGAAGGAAATTATTTACTAAACTAAATTACGCAACCATAATGTGAAACCACTAGTGACAGATTAATCTGAAGTTTGTGTCCTTGTTTTATGGACTGTCTTGAGCTGGTGAAAGATCTGCTGAGGTGGACCTAGGGAAGATATTTAGGAAAGATCTGATCTTTGTATTTTTCCTTAATAATTTGCCACTCAGGTGCCTCCCCAAGAAGTGGGGGAGGGGTGTGTCATCCGGAGATGCTGAGATGAGCCCTTCTGAGACCATGAAATATCCCTGATTATTTCTGCAAAACTTCATCACCATCACCAGT